GCAGGTACGGCTGCTCGCAGCTCCCAGTGGCCGCGGTTCCCTGTTCCTGGCCAATGGGAGATGTGGGAAGCGGTGGCCTGGCCCAGGGCCGGTGCAACCACTAGGTGAACTAGGCGGTTGCCTAGGGCGCCAAGTGGTTGGAGGCGCCAAAAAGCGATGCCCTGGCTCGGTAGGGAGGAGTCGCCTTCCGGAGGCACCGGAGAGCCAGAGCGTCGGCTTGCGGGGGCGATGAGCCCCAGCCCTGGAGGAGCTGGTGCGGTGCAGGGGGGCAGCAGACCTGCAAAGGCAGCGGCGCCGCTAGCAGGGAGCAGCTGCGCCCCCCGCCCCCCCTGCCCCGGCTGCGGTCTGCCCCCCCCCCCCCCGGGGCTCCTGCAGGCTGCAGCAGATGCATGCGGGCAGCGGCCCTCGTGCGCCCCCCGGGAGCCGCAGAACCTGAGTGTGGCGAGGAGGGAGCCGGGGAATGCATGGGGGATGCCGCCCGCGTGTGTCCCGTGCAGGAGCCCCCGGGGGGGGCGCCCCCCGGCTTTCCCCTCACCGTGCTTGAGTTCTGCGGCTCTCGGGCGTGTGAGCCGCCGCTGCCCCTCCTGGAGAAGGCTCAGGGCCCCACGCTCTGGTGGCAGCTCACATGCCCGGGAGCTGCAGTGCCCGAGGGCGGCGAGGGGGGAGCCGGGGAGCACATGGGGGCCAGCACCCGCATGCATCCGCTGCAGTCTGCAGGAACCCCCCGGGGGGGGGGCGCCGGGCTGCAGGCCGGGCAGGAGGGGCAGGCACGGCTGCTCCCTGCTAGCGGCGACGCCGCCTTTGCAGGGCTGCTGCCCCCCTGCGCCGCGCCGGCTCCTCCATGGCTGGGGCTCGCCGCCGCCACAAGCGGGACGCTCTGGCTCGCCAGTGCCTCCGGAAGGGGGCTCCTCCCTGCCAAGCCAGGGCACCGCTTTTTGGCACCCCCAACCACTTGGCGCCCTAGGCAACCGCCTAGTTCGCCTAGTGGTTGCACTGGCCCTGGGCCAGGCCACCGCTTCCCAAGCCTGGCAAAGCCAGTGAGTGGACTCAGGGCGGGGGCCGCCGGGGTGGGGTGGGGAGGGCTCGTGGGGGGGGGGGCTGTGCACCCTCCAGGGGAGTTCAGGGAGCAGGGATGGGGGAACCTGGTCTGGGCAGCAGCCCCTGGGCACGGCTGGCCCCTGGGGTCTATAAAGGCTCATTGGGATTTTCCCCTCAATGAACCGATGTGCAAGGGTGAGGGAGGAGCAAGGTGGAAGTTTCGCCTAGGGCATAAAATATCCTTGCACTGGTCCTGGCCTGCCCCAGGAGGCCAGTGGATATTTCTGGTCAAAATCCATGTGCTTCACTTCATGTACTGTTTGATGTTCCCACTTTTAACAACAGCCACAATCTTTGTACAAATTACATGTACTGGTCAAGAATTTGGACACTGTGGCAAAATAAAACAGTAAACATCAGTCCACTCTTCTTTAAATGAACAGTATTTGGTGTCAACTTTCCATTTTGTTGTTGTTGCCATCATGGGCAGCATGTGAACCCCCGTTCGGGGAGGCTAGCTCCCTGCCCCACCCCCTCCTCCCAAGGCCCCACCCCTTATGCACCCGCCTTGCCTGCCAGAGCCGGAGGAGCCCTGGACCCCCCACTGTGGCTGGAAGAGCTCTGGCTGGCCTGGTGGAGCCACCCCAAGTCCTGGGCCGCTGCCCTGGCCCGAGCCACCCCAGGCCACTGGCCCAAGCCACCCCGCCCGCTGGCCCAAGCCACCCTGCTCAAGCCCCCACTGGCTTCAGGGAAGAGATGGAGTGTGGGTGGGAAGAGGAGCAGTGTGGGCAGGGCCACAGGGGAAGAGAGGAATGTGGGAATGGGGCTTTGGGGAGGAGTTTGGGTGGGGCCATGGCCTGGCTGTTTGGGGAGGCTTAGCCTCCCCTGGCCTATTATACCTGCCGCCCATGGCTGCCATGTTTAAAAGCGGTGCTGTTAAACATCAAAAGCACAAGAGGCAGGACTACTGCTTTCAACAGTGTAAATGAGCCTATGACCATACAGTAAAAAACGTAATTTTTTAAAAAAGGAACATACTCTTGGTTTTTTATTGGTGGAAACTGACGATAGTGCAAATTAAGGAAATAAGGAGTACAACTCAACCATTAATTCACAGTTCAATGTATTGGAGATCGCACTGTGAGAGAATGAGAGGGTAAAAATAATAAGTAAATAAAAAGATTTCATGGTCTGTTCAAAAGCATCTGACGGCCAGATTTGGCCAGGGGTCGGCCTATTGACTATCTCTGCTCTAGCTTTTCGAAGATGATGGTTTAAAAAACAAAACAAACTTGCAAGGGGAGTGGATCTCAAAGGTTGGGCACCGGCCCAAACCCAAACATCTACACTTCTGTTGTTAGCTCTGCAGTCCAAGCCCTGGGAGCCCAAGTGAATTGACCTGGGCTCCGAGATGCAATGTTGTGGGTTTTTTATTGCCGTATAGATATATAGTTTCCTGTGTTCCCTTTAAGATTCTGATGGGCCGTCAGTCCCCAGCCTTGCTACATAAGCCCTGTTCACCTGCGTATAGTGTAAGCCAGTGGTTTTCAAACTGCAGGTCGTGACCCAGTACTGGGTCATGGAATGTACGGCACTGGGTCGTGGTGGCTCTGGTCAGCACTGCTGACCGGGCCATTAAAAGTCCCGTTGACGGTGCTGCTCGACTAACACAGGCTAGTTCCTACCTGTTCTGACACCGTGCTGCGCCCCAGAAGCAGCCAGCAGCAGGTCCAGCTCCTAGGCGGGGGGCCATGGGGCTCTGCACACTGCCCCGACCCCAAGCACCAACTCTGCACTCACATTGGCCAGTTCCCAGCCAATGGGAGCTAGGGGGGGGGCGGTGTCTGCGGGCAAGAGCTGAACAGAGCTGCTTGTGTGCCTCCACCTAGGAGCTGGACCTCCTGCTGGCCGCTTCCAGGGTGCAGCGCAGTTTGCGGTGCCAGGACAGGCAGGAAGCTTGCCTTAGCACCCCTGCTGTGCCACTGACTGGGAGCCACCCGAAGTAAGCCCGCACCCCAATCCCTTGCCCCAGCCCTGAGTCCCCTCCAAACCTGGAGCCCCTTCCTGCACCTAAACCCCTCCATCCCTTGTCCCAGCCCAGAGTCCTGACCCCCTCCTGCACCCCTGAACCCCTCATTCCCAGCCCCACCATGCAGCCCTCACCCCTGCAGCCCAGCCCTGAGCCCCTCATCCCCAGCTCCGTTGAGTCACGGGCTTCAACAATTTTCTTCAACTGGGTCGCCAGAAAATGTTTTGAAAACCACTGGTTTAAGCAAGCAGTTAACTCCTAGCTTGTTTGAAAACAAGGAAGGCCTCTTCTAGAGCAATTCTCTTTTGGTAACATCTGAAGTTTAAAACAAATTGTCATGAGTTAAAACTGGCACATTAAAAATGAGTAAAAAGAACAAAGACTCTTTAGATTTAAAATTTCTGTGCTACTCCCACATTACACTGTAGGATAGTAATTAGGGTGACCAGACAGCAAGTGTGAAAAATCAGGACAGGGGGTGGGGGTAATAGGAGCCTATATAAGAAAAAGATCCAAAAATCGGGACTGTCCCTATAAAATCGGGACATCTGGTCACCCTAATAGTAATTGTTAACCCCTCTCCCATTGAGCAATATGGTTAGCAAACAACTTGAACCTCCTGCCAGCTGTTTGGATCTCCCCCAAGTTGAAACCCCCTGCTATATCTCAGCCACAGGTGTATACAACCGAGCCATTCTCAAATGTATGTAAAATGGAATAGAAATGAGGTAATTACAATTTTTCCTCAGAATTTTACTTTCTGAGACAGACTTAATACAAGATGTACATATTTTTCATTTGTTCTTTACCTTTCGTTTACACAATACCATTCTTTCCTATCTAGATTGGCTTTGCCCTTTCCCCAAGACAAAAGGGATTTTGTTGAATTTCACTAGCAATTGTTTTGCTCAGCTAGCTTTGGTGGTAATAAGTGTACGTTCATATCTCTGGTAAGCACGCCTTCATTTCAGCAGTTAACACCGTTGGCTGCTTGCCAGCCATCTCTGAAATGACTGAGGCTGGATCATGCGTCTTTGAATTTTGCATTTTAAAAATCAATGACAACACAAACAGTCTTTAAGTGTTCTTCCCAGCTTAATACCGTCTTGGTTTAGTACAAGTCTCCAGCAAAACAATCATTCTTCCACACGCCCCTGACAAAACATATTCTACTTTCACTTTAAACATATAACAAAAATATTAAGGACAATTGCTGTTTGTTGACAAGATAATCAGTGATGGTCTAATGACAAAATAATGGGGAGGGGGAGAAACTAGTCACACTGCTCCTCTGCCCGGGGATTAGGGTGACCAGGCAGTAAATGTGAAAAATCGGGATAGGGGGTGGGGGGTAATAGGAGCCTATATAAGAAAAAGACCCAAAAATCGGGACTGTCCCTATTAAATCAGGACATCTGGTCACCCTACCGGGGATACGCTTCTCGGGGAGCTGAGAGTGAGGCTGGCTCCTGTCACAAGGGAGCACCGAACTATTTGGGTGTTGACTGAAGTACGTTTTCGGGGCTATCCCGGGAGAAGCGCACACCAAGCAGAGCAGACCCCGCGGGGCACCGCTGCACGCGGCTGGGCTCTTAGCACAGAGACGGGCTCTCTAAGCTCCCCTTCAGCCAGGTCACACCCCGGGGAGCAAACCCCACCCAGGCGAGCGTCAGGCTGGGTGTGGCTGGTGTCCGCGCCGGCCTCATCCCCTTTGCAAATATGCACAGCTCGTCCGAGCTGGCTGGCTGCAGCGGGGCTCCGGCTCGGCCCCGAGGGAGCGCCCCCCGCTGTCAATGAGCGGCTTGGCCGCCTGCCTTTCCCAGCGCCCCGACTCTCGCATGGGACCCTCCGCCAGCCGGGCGCCCAGCCCACTGGCTGTGCCGGCGGCAGCAGGCTCCCGCTCCCAGGGGCTCGCCCGCCCAGTGAGCGGGGGATGATGCCTAAGGAGAAGCCGCTGTGGAAGGGCTTCGCGTTCCGCCTCTGCCTGCTCTCGGCCGCGGTCTTCCTCTGCCTGCAGCTGGGGCTGAGGCGCTCCTGCGCCCCGGCGGAGAAGGCGGGAGCAGCTGCGGCCGGGGCGCTGCCCGCCCGGGGCACAGAGCAGCGCCTAGGGCCGGCCCGCAGCAACCGCAAGGACAAAGTGGAGGCGCACCTGGCGCCGGGGGCGGGGCGGCCGGAGGCGGCGACCGCCAGCAGGAGGCGGGTGACCTACCTGAGAAGCAGCCGCAGAAGGAGCTCGGAGCCCGCCTGCTGCCCCCTGCAGACCCTGGGCAGCAGCCGCAGGAAGGTAGGGCCCTGTGAGGCGGGTGCCTAGGGGCGGGGCGGCTAGGGGGGCACTGTCATGACACGGGCATCGCCATATCACAACATGACACCCCTCCCCATGCCGAAGGGCTATGAAATCCACTAGTCTAAGGCCGGCGCCTGCAAATGGCTCTGCCTGCATGGGTGGTCGGTACCCGCGGGGTCTGATGCGGGGACACTCTCCACCTCCCCAGTCTCTCTGCTGGTGCTGAGCCCTGTGGCGGCGCTAAGTAGGGTGACCATATTTCCCAAAGGGAAAATGGGACACCACATGGGGCTGGCCAGAGCTGCTTGTCGGAGTCTCCCCCACCCCGGCTGGGGTCGCTGGAACCCTGCCTGTCCTCTGTGCAAAGCTGGGGTCACTGGTTGGAACCCTGCTTGCCCCCACACAAGCCCTGCCACCCCTTCCCCACAAGGGGCTGGCATCGCCGTTGGACCCTCCCGGCACATTCCTCCGTACCACACCCCACTTTTTTGACAAAAGTGGGCATTTGTCCCATTTGCTCTTGGCAACTTGATCAGTTGGCAAGAGCAAACGGGACAAATGCCCACTTTTGTCAAAAAAGTTGAGATGGCCGAGACAGGGCTTAAAAAAGGGACTATCCTGGCCAAAACAGGATGTATGGTCACCCTATCCCTAACAGTACGGGCCACCCCAGGCAGAGCCATGCACAGGATCGGGCACCGAGCTGGTGGGGGATGTGTGATAGTCCCACCAAAATGGTCCCGACATGCTGATGTGCTTGCAGCCAAGGTGTGGGAGGGACCTTCCCAAGTTGGGCCTGAAGGCTAGGGCCAGCCAGGACACCAGGTCTGGATCTTCAAGCCCTCAACATTCGGGGCTTTGGAGATACAACCTCCAAGCCTTGGGCCAAATCCAAACCCTCTTGGGCTTTGGAGGGGAAGTTTGGCTCCATATCTGACCTCTGTAGCTATGATGTTAAAATAGCCATGCAGACATTCTGGCCCAGGCTCTGAAGTTTGGAGAGTGGAATGGGTTTCAGAGCCTGCATCTACACAGCGACTTTTAACACCGTAGTGAGCTTGAAGCTTTACACCTTGGCTCTGAGACTTGCTTTGGGTTTTTGTTTGTTTGTTTGCTGTATAGACAGAGGTACCCTTTGAGGGAAGTGTAGAACTACCAGGATCTTTTCTTCATACTCTAGCGGGCCAGGGAAGAGGATGGAGAAATTAGATAAATCCCTCTTCCTTTCTGCCCACCACATCCAGGCAGGAAGGAAGTGAAAGCAGCACATTTTGCCACAACATAGTGACTATGAGATTTTCTGATATGTTGTGATGTTGGCATCATGTTACATCAGTATGCATTGTTGCCAGCGCTTGCAATTTTATTGTCAAGTGTTGTGATATTTGGTGTGTTGTCTTAAATCCCCAGCTCCTGATTAGAGGAGATCCATAGCTTTTTTTCTCTCTCTCTCTCTCTTTTTTTTTTCACAAAAAGAAAGTATATTTCTAGCCTTAGTGGTTGCAGGTAAAAACTTAAAACCTAAATGTACCTTAAAGGCTCAAAAGTTAGTAGACAAATAAAAAGAGCTCTGATTTATAATTTTTAAGTCAGTCTCATTATTTTTGGGAGGCCTGACTCATGACTTTTGAATACTTGGGGTTGACACTGTATGTGTTGGTGTTGAGTTGCGATGACACTTCACACCACAAACACTTTCGGATACAGTGCTGTTATTTTGTGTTGCTGTAAGTTCATTTGAAAGTGAAGTGACTGAAGTTCATGGTCCATGTCTGCATTAAGGAATTGAACTGTTTCCAGTTGAATTGGCGCAATAGAATTGGTTTAAGCATAAATAGTTTGATATGTCCACTCTAGGAATATGGATGCATACTTTAAAATTTTGCAGTTTCCCCATGTATCAACACTAGTGCTGTTCTAAACCATTTCAATTGCACTGCTCTCAGCACTAACAATTTCTGGCATGTCTCCCAGATGTAGGGTCTTCTGGAAGATTTTGAAAGGCCCCTGGTGCATTGTGGCACAGTAGTGGGAGGACTATTTGAACTGTTTGTGCTGTTACGTTCGTGGTATTTGTCCACACTGTCACTGATCCACTGAAATGACCTCATGATCATCTACCTAAAGTACAGAATGCTTCATTTATTGGGGTGCTCTTCATCATGCTACTCCCTCTACTGAGACTACTCTCAGGAAATCAAGTTAACCTAATGAGAGAGAATGGTAAAGACTGAGGCTGTCAGGGAAAATAGCAACAAAAAAATCACATAGGGCTCGTCCACATACGCACAAGTTGTACTGCTTTATCTATGCTGGCAAAATTGGGATGGTACAATCCTCATAGTGAGGATACAGATATTCCATTATAAGCATTTTTGCAGTGATGTTGTAGCTGTGTTGGTCCTATGTTGGCGACCTAAGAAAGAGCTCTGTGAATTTCGAAAGCTTGTCCCTTCCACCAAGTGAAGCTGATCCAATAAAAGATATTACCTCACTCACCTTGTTTCTCATATACTGGCATAGTTTATTCCTATATGGGCAGGGGAATAAGCACTATTGGGATAAGGCATCTTTGTATTGGTATAACACACAAGCTATGTCTTCACTAGGAATGTAAAATCCTAGTGAAGACAAGGCAGTTTGTAGTCTTTACATGAGTTAATAGGTTGAGTTAAAGACTATAGGGGAGCTTAGTCTTTAACTTGATCTGCTAACACATGTTGAAATTACATTGTATTCACTAGGATTTTACATTGAGTTAGTTAACTTTCAGATAGCTAGTTCAAATAAAGAACACATCTTTAGTCCCTAGTGAAGGCAAGGTCTAGGGATTTGTATCAGTATAACTATTTTGGTTAAAAAATCACAACCCTAACTGAAATAATTATACATATTATAGTTACATGTACAAAATTTATATGCAAACCAGGCCTTAATGGGACACATGTAACCATTGCCTATTGATTAAGTAGTACTTAGACAGATGTTAAATAGTTCTGAAACGTTTGTCATTTTAATAAGAAAAAATAAAGTAGGAACTAGCCTGCGTTAGCCGAGCAGCACGGCCAACGGGACTTTTAATGGCCCGGTCGGCGGTGTTGACCAGAGCCGCCACGACCCAGTGCCTTACATTCCATGACCCAGTACTGGGTCGCGACGCGCAGTTTGAAAACCACTGGCTTACACTATACACAGGTGAACAGGGCTTATGTAGCAAGGCTGGGGACTGACGGCCCATCAGAATCTTAAAGGGAACACGGGAAACTATATATCTACACGGCAATAAAAAACCCACAGCATTGCATCTCGGAGCCCAGGTCAATTCACTTGGGCTCCCAGGGCTTGGACTGCAGAGCTAACAACAGGTGAATCATTTTTATTTTTCACCATGTTACATTTTATTTCATTTAAAAAGTTTTCAGACTGTTTTAAAAGAAGAAAAGATCTCTTAATTGATACTTCATGGCTTCTACCTGCTCCTTTGGAGAAAGAAAGTAGCCAGACCAGCACTGGCAGCCAGGCTCGTGAGCATCCATAGTGCTCTGGGGTGGGGAGGGGAGGGCAAGGGAACAGTGCAGAGGAACTGGATCTCTATACAGATCTCCCAGGATCCACCAGGATGGATGGATTTCACTGTGGATCTTACCAGCCCACATGCCATGTGTCCTCTGCATGTCTACAACCCCCTTCTTATCCTTGCAAGGTTAAGACCTTTAACTGTATAGTGTACTGTATAGATATTTCTTTTGGGGTGGATTACAATATATGATCTACAAACAGTGCAGCAAAAGATTACTGAATAGAATTTTTCCGTAGGTGTTGAGGGATAGCCTACTCTGCTGCCTATTAAACAATTTACATAGACTCACAGAAGATTAGTGTTGGAAGAGACCTCAGGAGGTCATCTAGTCCAATCCCCTGTTCAAAACAGGGCCAGTCCCAACTAAATCATCCCAGCCAGGGCTTTGTCAAGCCGGGCCTTAAAAACCTCTAAGGATGGAGATTTCACCACCTCCCTAGGTAACCCATTCCAGTGCTTCACCACCCTCTTAGTGAAATAGTGTTTCCTAATATCCAACCTAGACCTCCCGCACTGCAACTTGAGACCATTGCTCCTTGTTCTGTCATCTGCCACCACTGAGAACAGCCTAGTTCCATCCTCTTTGGAACCCCCCTTCAGGTGAAGGCTGCTACCAAATCCCCCCTCACTCTTCTCTTCTGAAAACTAAATAAATCCAGTTCCCTCAGCGTCTCCTCATAAGTCATGTGCCTCAGCCCCCTCATCATTTTCGTTGCCCTAGGCAGAAACACTGCAGAATAATTTATATGATCGGTACTTTTAAGGGTCATGTTCACAAACAGTTGTCTTCATATTTTTGTGCTTGATAATAATGTAGTTCTGTTTGTGAACAAACTCACAGGGCATTTGTCTGGGATTTTACCTAGAAACAAATGAACAAAAATTCCAAAAGAAGATGAGAAGGTCTAAGATCCATCCATCCATCCATGACTCCTATACTTTCAATTCCAGGAAATAGATTGCGTGATTGCACACTTTTGGTGATCAATGGCACAACAGTAAGATTGGGGAGAATGACACTAAAGACAGTGTGAAAGTTTATACCCTAAATAAATTTGGAAGGATTAGATTTTTATCGGTAAATATTGGTTTCACTGTACATACACAAACCATTGAAAAAATATTTCCATCTATGATAATTGAAATGTACAGATAGGCTAAAGAAGAAAAATGCTGCTTGAAAACTTATTAGAGTTTGAGTCAAGAATATTTATTTTGTGCATTTTGATAGTTTGTTATAAAGCAGTTATAAAGCTTTGACTTTTTGAATCTTAATGTCTACTGTTATTAACTAATTATTGTCTGACCTCCCATAATATCCTGCAAATGTGGAAATTTAAATAGATAAAAATAAAAAAACTTAACTTTGATGATATACATCAAAATGATACAAAAATTAAAACTAAATTCTGCCAAG